AGGACAAGATGTGCTCCTCCAACAACTCCGAGTAATTCAGCTTAGTGCCCCACCTTGAGACCTCGCAATGAGAAGGACTAGGTGTAAGACACAGTTCCGGCTCCTCGCTGTCTGTGTGATCTGCTCAGGTCCCTGCGGTTCTGTGTCTCGCACTCACCTACTTCCCCGGGATCACCTGGAGGCCCGCTAGCAAAAGGCTCGGGGCACTCAGGGCCTCTCCAGGTGGAGCATTACCCGGCGGCCACGGAAGGCAGTGTCCTGAGTCGCCGCTTAGACCATGTGCACGTACTGATCTCATGCGACCTCACAGTTCGGGGGTCACCTAAAGCACCAGACAGGTAATCTGTAAAAATTGAGCAAGATTTCTACAAAGAGGCGAAATCTTTGAAAAAGCAAAGCCCATGCTGCAAATAGCAGTAAAACAATTTGAAGGTAAGACTTTGTGGAAGGCCAGTGAGGGGCACTAGGAGCGAGGACGGAGACTCATCCTGAAGCGTAGCCGCAGAGTGCATGAACACGCTGGGTGCACCTGAAACGCTGCATTTACACACGGGGGATAGTTGTGATTATCTTCTGAATTCTGTCAAATAAATTTACAAAAAGAAAAGCAGAGATAATTTTTATACTAGTACTCTTTGCTTATTATTTCATGTAATTCAGTGTTATATTAAAATTTGATAAATCATATAACATATTTTTACTATTAATGATGAGCAACATTTTCCTCAAAATTCCAGAGTTATAATAAATTCATGGTAAAACGGGCTTCTTACCATGCATTTACTTTTCAGAAAATCTCTAATTTACATCAGCTCACTAAAATATGCTTTATTTCCTAATTCACAGATAAGTCAGTAAATACGAGATGAGTCATGCAAAAATTCCTTACTGACACCACACAGGTCTTCCTCATCCCAGTGCAGCAGATAACTGTACCTGCGTCCTCACAGTTCGAGTGGTTGCAGGCTGTCCATAGAGTGGCTTTTCAGTAATGAATTGAGCTGAACTGAATTTGGAAATTTGTCAGACTTCTAATTGCCAGCTACTCACCAACCATTCCTATTTTCTAAAAGAGAATAAAAAATAGTAAAAAGAAAAAAAAAACCAAACATTAGAAACCATATAGAATTTCATAAACAAAAAATGGGAATTCAGTAATGGTTATTGTATTACATAATGTTGTCTTCAGATTAGTTGTTTAGGTTATCAGATATGAGCATGCAAAATTGGTTTTAAAAGTTATAAGAAATTAAAAAGGAGAAGGCAATGGTAAGCATTCACTGAAGGAGAAGACAATGGTAAGCATTCACCGATCCTTTCAGGAGACTGGCAGAAACCAGCAGCAGTCAGCCGAGCTGTCCTTCACAAAAACATACATAAACATAAGCATACACATCTTTTTCTCTTCTTTCTTTTGTCCATTTCCTCATCCAGATTGTTCCTTCCCTCTGAACACATTCTCTCTCTTTCACAGTATCTATCGTACCTTTCAGATTTTAACTTATTTTTTTATTAATAGAATCCTGATTTCTTTGCGAGCGACAATGATGCAAATACTGAAATGCCTTTTCAGTAAGGTATTAGTGGAAGTCATTGCTTGGGACTTCTTGGGCAGCTTCTTAAAAGGGGAAGAATGTGAGCTTTTGACTTCTTGATCTTCTCTCTCTCTCTCTCTCTCTCTCTCTCTCTCTCTCTCTCTCTCGTTTTTGTTTTCCTGCATGAAATACAGGTGATTGTTGGTGATAAAGCAGGCTTATGAGGATCAGCCGGGAGGGTCAGTCAATGACAAGTATGACAGAGTTAGAACTAGAACTGTCCTTGGTCTTCACCGTCTTCTTCAAGTAACTATCCAGCCTTGAGCACACACTCTCAGACGCCATTCGTGGAGGCTCTTACGAAAGACTCCATTATGGAGAGACAAGTAGAGCCACATAGGTTGCTTGGGTCCACCTAGGCTGCTAATTCTCAAGTGAGGAAGGATTTGCTGAAATGAGGAAGGATTTGCAGTACTCTCCCAGGACGATTTGTCACTTTCCCTGCCATATTTGATATGACTTGCAGACGAGGAATCACTTCTCCTCTCTCCAGGCAAGCAGTACTGTGCCAACGAGTCCATCTCAGTGCTGAGAGTGTGGCATTTTTGGCTATGTGAAGCCACACAGAAAGCAAGGCTAGAGAATGCCACTCCAGAGGGGTCCGCTGTGAATCATGAATCAAATGCTTGGAAGTCTTCAGAGGCCTGGCCTTGCTCCGCATAGTCTGAAGGAAGCACGTGTGAAGTAGCTTGAAGTGCAAGCACCCAGCATCAAAAGATGCTGGTGAGCTTGGGAGGGGAGTGGTGAAGTTGGGCCCTGGCTGTGGTAGGAGAACCGGCATTGGAGGGTGTTTTAGCGGGCAGCTGGCTGGGTGTCACGTGTGAGGCAAACCTCATCCCTGTGACATTGTTCAGAGAGGCCATCAAGTGTTGGCCTGAATGCTCCCACTGGTTAGCACCGTTTAACTCGTAAAGCAATCTGTGGCACTGTGGAACAGAGTAGTAACTGGAAAGACCTTCTTTATGTGAACTTAATCTGGTTGTACCTTATTACCATATACCATTTATAACACACCGTATTTATTTGAACATATCACATCATCAGTTTTGATTTAATGATTGCAAAATCATGAGTCATTTTAAAAGGGTTCCTTTACCTGTTTCTGAATATGTGTAGACCTACTCAAAAAGACTCTGTACACTTGTGTAACATCACAATTCCTGGTGGAGTAGTAGACTTGAACTCAAGACGAATGACTTTGATCTTCCAAACTGTTACAATTTATTCATTCAGAAATGGTTTGCTGAGCCCTTACTACCTATTGGTCAATGTGTAAAGTGCAGAAGGAATGGTACACACATATTCCTGGCCCTTCTAGAGCAAATACTTTAGTAATTGCCTGTCCAGGAGGCCTTCTTTTAGCTTTCAGTAGAACACAGAGAAAGAAGTGAATCCTTTCTCAATCACTTGATTACCACGTTGCTTCACAGGGGTCTCTTCTCGAGCCCACCCCCCCCCCATTCCTTCAACAACTCCTCCTAGGTAAGACCATGGAGCTGTCCAACATCTCCATGCTTTTCCAGGAATCTCCTGTTTGGTCAGGTCTCTTACTCAAGAAAACGAATCCCAAGCCCTAGGCTCCTGCTTCCGGGGGTACCGTGCGTGCACTCTGCGCAGGAGTTCTTTCTTTACATGACCAGAAAGTTCAATTAGAGTGAGTGCCTCCGGCTCATCAGTGTGAGGCGCTCCTGGTGACGCTCCCTCAGCTCTCTGCACGGTGAACTAAAGCCACAGGAGCACCCCCGTGGGGCACACTTGGGTGCTGGAATTGGTGCATTCCTATTCAATTTTAGCTCCTCATCTACATCATCATTAAATCTTTTGGGATCTTTTAAATCCTAATTTGGATCTTTAAGGCTCTTTCCCAGTCTCATGTTATAAGCAAATTAAATAATTGTGAGCTGCATGTTGCTGATATAAATGTTAATCTGCACAAATTCAAATACAAAACCCAATAACACCTCATTCAGACAAGTGAGTCCTCCACTGTTGCCCCAACACTGTAGCACTGTGCTCACTGAGGCCCGAGGGGCTCCCTCTAGGCTAGCCGCTGAGATGACAAAGGAAACCATGTGGGTCAGCGAGGCAGGGAATGCAGTGTACTACCGGGTGACTGCAGTCTGGCAGTGTTCCACCTTGTGAGAGTGAAGGAGGCCACGTGCCGGGCCCCTCAACTCAGCCCAGGACCAGGCGGAACCTCAGATGGCATCCAAATTCATGGATAATAAAGGACTTGAGCAGAAATTTGCAGAGATCACTAGGAGTTAAAGAAGACTATTAGCACTTTCCCGAAGTTCTAAGTTGGAATTCTATCCCAACTCTCAAGTGATATCATATATCATGACTGGGCAGTGCCCCATTTTGGATCTTATCAACCCTTAGACCTATTCTGAAGCTGAGTAGTGACTCACACGATGCTGATGATCTTCCACAATTGGAAGACACTCTCAGGTAGGAGTTGCCAGCTGATTTTGCCTGAATCCACTTTTCTGGTTGAAAGACATTTGGGAGAGAAAGCTGCTCTTACATATCGCTATTAGGTATCACAGAAGTCCAGGCAGTGACAAGCAAGAGCGGGAGCATCCAAAGGACTGACTGTGCGACGGGGAGTGGGGCTCGTGTGTAGCGCACGGACGTGGGCGCCCCTTTGCTCTTTGTGGGGAGCTGTCCCGTACTGTGCAACACTAAAACAGCCCGGTAGGTGAGCCGTGAAAAGTCACCTCGCTGGGAAGAAAAGCGACTGCACAGAATCGGTCATTGCCCCTCTCCTATAACAAAGGACAGGTCTTTCTTTATGTTTATCTGGGTTTATTGTTAAGCCACACAGCCCCAAAATTTTACCACAAAAGATTTATCAAATGTGTCCCATATCTTTGCAATTAAATCCGCAAAGACTTAGTTTTAGACTTAGTTTAAATAGAACCTCCATTTCCCTTATTTTGGTATTGATATTCAGATACATTGCACTAAAGAAATTTGTTTTAGACAGTTTCTTCATCAAAATAGTTTTATGAATAAAAGCATGAAATTAAGAAGTTGTGCTGTCCCTTTTTAAAAAATGACTCATCAAAAGAATCTTTTCCTTTTTCTTGTAAGAGAAAATCTAATGTCTGTTTCAGGATTGCACACGTATTTTCTTAGTGGAGAAAACCAGCTTACATGGTGGGGCCATCCATCCAGTGTAGAAAGGAGGCTGTCAGTTCCCAGCCTGCCCGTTGGATCCCGACAGCTCGCTCAGCCATCAGCACTCTTTATCTCTCGTGCAGACAGACTCCTCTGCAGCTGAAGACTGGGCAGAGCCTGCATTTCACAGCCCTGGAAGCGCTGTGCTTTCTCAGGCTCTGGCCGGTAGCTTCAGCACTAGGAGCCGCTGGAGAAGGGGTTAACGCTGGGACTTGGCTGCGTGTCAGCTAAACTTTTTTTCTCAGCTCCGCTCTGCTCCGCTCTGCCCCGGGCTTCCCCTTGAAGGGATTTCCCTCCTCCTCTGTAGCTGACCCTTTATAAGGAGCGGACTTTCCATTTCACTGTACTGGCCGTTCTGGCTTCGGGAGCTAGACTTGCCAGGTCCTTTCAGGTGGGCGGACGTAGGGTTTGGAATCACTGTTCTCTCATCACGGAAGCGGCTTACAACTGCCTGGGAAGATGGCCATGATCTTTGGAGCTTGGAAGATACTGTGGACAGTGTTTGCAGTCTGTAAGTTCTGCTTGATCTATTCCAAATGTTAGCATTCCGGTTAGCCCTGGTTTTGGCTTCAGCCAGTTCTACTGTGGCAGCAGAGAAAGGAGCTAGGCTTTTAAGCAATAGGAAAACTTAATGTCACCAGCTTTTTGATGTGGTATTGAGCTCTGAAAGATGCCATTATACTGTCCTAGTTAGAGCTGAAAATTGATGTATTCAATGCCCTTTTTTCCCAATGTCAAATGAGTAATTTGAATTCTGTCTCAGTAGTTGGTTTAGTATCCTGTTCTTGATAATGAGGTCAAACTTTGCAAACAACACAATAACTCTGATAAATAAGCATCAAGACAGGAAGGGAGAGTTCTTATGAGGAAAGGTGACTCTGACACCTTCGTTGGCAAGGACTTCAGTGCTCTTGGGCCATGTTGGAGTAGGGAGAAGCTGTTAGGAAAACATTAGCTGGGTCATATCTTGAATATTTTACTGGAACAGAGAAAAGGGAGCAGGATGCTACACAAGCCAGCAGTAAATTTGCTTCTCTATTTTTTGTTGTTACAGCTCAGGCTTTTAGAATTGAGACCTCCCCAGAATCCAGGACGCTTGCTCAGATAGGCGACTCTGTCTCGCTCACTTGCAGCTCCATGGACTGCGAGGCCCCATCCTTCTCTTGGAGAACCCAGATAGACAGCCCACTGAACGCCAAGGTGAGGACAGAAGGGGCCAGGTCCACGCTGACCATGGATCCGGTCGGCTTCGAGAACGAGCACTCTTACCTGTGCACAGCGACCTGCGGGCCCCAGAAACAGGAAAAAGGAGTACGCGTGGACATCTACTGTAAGTGGTTTAGAGAGCTTTTGGGTTTTCTTTCAGTTCTGCTTTAAAATAGCTTTTAAAGATATATTTCAAAGGAAGCTTTTAAAATGATAGTCACATCCAGAATCTTGGCTGCAAAACATATGAAACAAGAAAGCTGGAGACTAATGAGGCTAGCTAACTCAAGCTTTCTTTTCCAACTCAGCTACAAGCCAGGGAGCACAAGTTTCCACCTCTCCATACCCCTGTGTCTTTAGCTATGAAAATGAAAATCTCTAAGGTTCATTTTTTCCAAATTTCTGTTCGATTCTACCTGTGCGTGTTGACTTGCTCGTGCTCCTAAAGATTGTGTCCCACGAGACTTTCCACTCATTTATTCTGATGCGTTTTGGTGCTTTTAAAATCAGTTTAAAGGTTCAGCAGAAGATCTTTCAGTTAGTCAGATGTTTGAGAATGAAAGTCTTTTCCTTAGATGTGATAAAACATACCTCTGCACGTTCAGGCACGTGGCCTCGGTGCCGCCAAGGTCGGGAGTTTTGTGGCTGTGGCATTTGCTTCGTGGGGTCCGGGTCCAGCTCAGCAGCCCGCCAAGAATGCATCTGACCCGCTCACAAGTCAGTAAAGAGAGTTAGGAAGAGGAGTCAGAAAGCCAACCTAGTGTGAATTACCAGGCTTTCTGATTTCTGATGGTCTCTTTTTGCCTAAAAATCTGTACTCACACATCGTACTCATGCATGGTAATTTCTTCACGAAGACCGTGTTTGATGAGTTGATAATTACACTAGTTTCCTCTTACTGAACTGGATTCCAGCTTTGCTCAGTAAACTGAATTGGAATTTCAACAAGCCCCATGTGTTCTAAAGCTTCCCAGGAAGCTGCGCCAGGAAGCCTGCTCTCAATTACGCCGGCTGCACACATGCTTTATGTCTGCCCAGCCTCCTTAGTGCCTCTTACATAAACACAGCGGAAAGTAGCAAGTTCTTGTATTACCTGCCATACACTGAGTGAGCTCTAGACATCTTTAATAGACTAGAAGGAAGAAAATGCTGGAAAATCAAAAATACTATATTTTCAAATAACAAAGCACCCTGCCTTTGTCTTTTGCCTCTAAGTAGCAAGTGGTTCAAGATTTAGGAAAAGAGAAATGAGGATAGCTCTGGCTTTAATTATCTCATCAGGGAGTTTTTCTCCAAGAATGCCGCCTCTCATTATGGCTAACAGTTGCTTCCACTCCACGTTGGATTATAATTTTCTCTGAACCTTGATTTCCTTCTTACTCCACAAAGCTGCGAACCCACCAAAGTGTTACCGCGATGACAAGGTATAAGGAGAAGGGCCACAGCACGAGGAGGCCAAGAAGGTGTGCTGTGCCCCGCGAGGGCTCAGTGCGCTGCTGCTTCGGACACCAAGTGAGATTTTGCAAGAGAGAGTCCCAGCCCGAAGGACTGCACAAGTGCCCTGCTCTGGCGGATGAATTCTAGGCACGAGCTCCATTTTCAGAAGCCAGATGTTTGTTCAAGTTCCTCCTATTTCTTAGTATATCTTTGGATTCCTTACATATAAAATAGATCTGTATTCGCTCTGACTGAGGAAAGAGAATGTGATATGATGCAGTATTAATCCACAGCAACAATATAAAGTAATATAAATCCTAGGTTTAAATGCCAGCTTTAACTTTAGTATTTGTGTGGCTTTAAGCAAATTATACAGACACACTAAGTCCAAATTTTGTTATTTGTGAAATATATATTTTATCTCTTAGAACTATTATAAGGTTGGAGTACAGTCGCTTATGTTAAATCTAGAGCAGGGGGACAGGCACATGTAAGATTCAATAGATGTGAGGGTTTTTCCTCCCTTTCTTTAATAAATTATAAACTTTTATATAGGGTCAAAACTGAAAAGTTTTCTAGATGGTTGATTCTGACTCCTGCCTCTGGAACCCAACCCAAATCACAGAAAGCTCTTTAAATGATTTGCTATGCTGCAGCAAAACTGTTCTCACAAAGCAGTGGACTTGATGTGCATTGTGCTACAATAGTGCAAAGTCACACAAACATGAGCAGAAACCCCACTCATACTGTGTTCAACTTGCAGCTTTCCCCAAGGACCCAGAGATCCAGCTGAGTGACCTTCCAGAGGTCGGGAAGCCCGTCACAGTCCGGTGTGTGGTCCCCAAGGTATTCCCGCCTGACAGGCTGGAGGTGGAGTTACTGAAAGGTGGCTCTACCCTGATCAGCCAGCACTTTGCAGAAGATGAGGTCAAGAAGGCCCTGGAAACCAAGAGCCTCGAAGCCTCCTTTACTCCCACCGTTGAGGATACTGGGAAAGTACTTGTCTGCCGAGCTAAATTAAATATAGATGAAAGCACTGATTTTGAAGAATCAAGCCCCAAAGAAAGGGAGACTAGCCGAGAGCTGCAGGTCTACAGTAAGTGTTTGTGAGCAAGGGCTGGGCTGGCGCGCGTGCACATTTGGATGTCTGGTGTAACACACCTGCCCATGGTTGAGAGTAAAACTAGTTTTGTACCATTTTTATTCCCTGAGAACAGCATTTTCTAGTAGTACAATTCGGTGGGAAGAGCAATGGATTTGGACTGAGAAGATTTGAGCTTAAGTTCTGGCTCTGTGGACTGTGTGACCTTGAGTTACGTAATTTCTCTAGTTCTCTGTCAAAGAGGAAACAGTGTTACTACCTGATTGGGTAATAGGAAATAGGCTTCAATGATAAGAGAGTTTCAATGGTGTCTTGCAGAAGTTCTTATAGTAGGCCTTGAGATATTCATGAACAGATATAGAAATCTGACAAGATGAGCTCTTTTCTGGGTGCGCATGCACGCATGTGTGTGCGCATGTCTGTGTGTGTGCACACGTGTGCGCATGTGCGTGCATACCTGTGCCCCCATGGGCACGCACTCACCAGCTGGGGAGAGTATGGTGAGACTTGATTGCCTGCACTTCCCTGCAAGCGCAGGGGACTTGCAGCTGTCCTGCCTCGGCTGGGGCCAGGTGCACTTGCTGCGTCCTGTCCGAGACTACAATGCCGTGTCCTCCTCTGGGTGCTACATTCCAAAGCACTCTGGACGACTAGTGTGTGTTTAGCCCAAAGCAATTGTGATAGAAAGATTTTAACGATATTTTGAAAGGAACAGCCAAGATAGCTTATATTTTCCCCAGAGAATACGAACTTGGAAAAGAGCTCTAATTAAATATTTAAAAGATAGTTGTATGTGAAAGATTTATTTGGTAACATCGGAGGACTGATTATACTATGACCAGTAGATAAGAGTTAGTTACAAAGAGGAAGATTTCAGCACTGAGCTGAAATCGGTATTTTTCTAATAACTGCAGATGTTCAAAATCAAGTTCTCAGCCGAGCATGGAGGTGCACGCCTGCACCAGCACTCTGCAGCTCAGGCGGGAGGACTGCTGGGAACTCAGGGTCAGCCAGGGCTGCATGACGAGTTCAAGGCCAGCCTGTGCTACAAAGTGAGACCCTGTCTGAAATAGATAGATAGATAGACAGACAGACAGACAGACAGACAGACAGACAGATAGACAGACAGATAAAATTCAAGCCTGTTGTTTCTCAAGGCAACGAGCTGCACCGCTCAGGAAACGCTGCAGCTGACTTTGACGAGGTCTTGATAAGATGTCTAGGCAGGCAGCTGAGCCACATGGCCTAAGGGCTCTTCTTAATTTCTGAATGTCTATACCCACGTGAAAGCATCCAACATTAATAAAGGTAACATGTTCGTCAGAAGCCAGATGGACTGTTTTCATAATGCCTCAGCAGATCTGTATGCTAACTTGGCGGAAGTCTGAAGGGCATTCGCCATGCTGGGCTGAGACAGGCTGGGCGGCTGCTGACCTTGTGCCTGCCTTTTCAGTCTCGCCCAAGAACACAGCGATCACTGTGCATCCCTCTGCGAGCCTGCAAGAGGGCGACTCTGTGACCATGACGTGCTCCAGCGAGGGGCTGCCAGCGCCTGAGATTCTGTGGAGCAAGAAACTAGACAATGGAAACCTACAGCTTCTTTCAAGGAATGCAAGTCTCACCTTAATTGCCATGAAGAAGGAAGATTCTGGAATTTATGTCTGTGAAGGAGTCAATCAGCGTGGAAGAAACAGAAAAGAGATCGAATTAGTTGTTCAAGGTGAGTAGAATGTGAGCAAAAGGATTAAGGTGCAGTTGTGGGGATTGGAGCAAAAATGACACAGCGTCTGCCTGAAATTCCTGCTCTGCTTCCCTCTCTGGGTCTCACTGACGACCTGGCTGCCACGTGCTGTGCCAATATATCTGATAAGTATGCATTTATTAAACTCAGCCCTTTCGAAAGTCTTTTCTCCAAGCTTCCGCAGCCCCGCTCTTGGATTAAACTCTAGCCACATCATTCCCTGGCTCCCTTCATCTCCGCTCCTCTCTCCCACTGTCCTGCGAATTGTGACATGTCCCAGGTGTCCACGCCCGGCATCCAGTCCTCTCTTCTCACCTGGGTTAATCAGGACCTGGGCTGTTCTATGCTGGCTGTCCCCAGATTCATGTTTCCATTCTGTGTCACCAAATCTGTTAGTTCTGCCTCAGAACAAATCCTAGAATCTGGCCTGTTCTTCAAGCATTATTGTTGCCTTATTTTATCACCCCTCACCTGGACTTTTGGAAGATGTCCATAAACAGCAACAGCCATTGCATCTTGTTTGTGCTGCCTGGGGTGGCCTTTCCCCTGCCTGCAGCTGGCCGTCCTCACCATCCTCGGGACAAAGCTTTGGGTCCCGGCCTGTGCCAAGCAGTGGCTTGCTCCCTCTCCTCCACGCACACGCAGTGATCCTTGTAGCCACGTGTGCGTTTCTGTACAGCTCAGCGTGCACCAGTTGAGAACTGTTCTCCAAGAAGCTGCTCGGTCTGGACCACAGACCAGCAGAACGGAGTGGTTGCGCTGTGGGAGCTCGCTGGCCGGGACGCAGAGGGCACATGCTTAGGGATAGCCAAGTTAACCCGCTGAGGTGTGTCGGTCCACTCACCTGTAAGTTCCTGAAAGTCAAGAACTGTGTGTGTATGTCGTGTGAATGTGTGTGTGTGTGTTCACACAAGCACTTTAATTTTTGGGTGGTAAGCATAGCACCTGATTGACACGCAGTAGGTTTCCAATAAATGTTTGTTGACTACACGAATAAATTATAAATATGGTCAATACAAAATTTTAAAATATAAAAATATGAAATTTAATCCTAAATGATAAAAATAATAAAATTCGAACTCACCTCAGCAGACTGACTCCACTGGGTATTAGGTTAGCATTCTCAAGTGACCAGGAAAGTCGTTATTCTAGCAAAAACGTGTGCGGTCAATCATCCGCCCTGGAATTGTTCCATCCCATCGTAAACTGGATCCCATTTCAATGTGGAAAGGAAACGTGTTCTGGGCTTGGGAAGGACTGCTTTGCGTTTTGCACCACGTGGGATGTTAACCAGCTTGAATGCTAAACACCCAGCTGACCCTCCGAGACCTCTGAGCCACCTGCATGTTCCTCCCCGAGGGCTCCCCGGTGTGTGTGGTCAGAGTGTTCGCAGGCAGGAAGTGGATCTGCTTCAGAAGTTCCTCATTCTCACGCTAGCGTGCGAAAATTCGGAAATTCGGCTTATTGTGCTGGATGGCCTCTCCTCTGAATCTAAGAGTGTATGAGCTCATTGAGGCAATTATTGAGGTAATTATTAGGGCTTCACAACTACACAAGGAAGTCATCCTGGCACAAATGAGAGCTGTGAAAACGCACCAGGAGATAATCTGTGTGTTGAAAGTTCTCTATTCCTGCTCCTATTTACAAAAAGACACTGATTTTCTGTGGCATTTCATCTGACACTTTCAAGAGTGGCCCCACTGCTCCCAGCTTCTTCTGTGGGCTAAAATCAGGATTTGGGGTTCACATTCTCCCAAAATTGCAGCCGCCCAATCAAAACCTGTGAACTCAAGTGCTCCCGACTTAGGAGCCTGGCCTCACCCTTTAGCCTCAAACCTGAGATGACTGCATAGTATTTTCATATTGCATCAAGCAAATTGGAGATAAAATTTCACTTTGCTCTCAGCGTGACTCTCAAAGATACGAGTTTGTACTGCTGGAACCGAAGCTCTGAGCATGGTCCATTATCGATATGGTATCTAATTCAATAATACTTTGGGGTAGTTTATTTCTAGAACCGCCTTTAGATTTTATTTATCGCTACATGGGGATGACCCGGTTCAGTTATCTCAACCGCAGCAAAGCTGGGGTCTCCAGTCAGACCTGTTCTGCGGCGGCCTGATGCTGCCCCTCACAAGCTGCGGCAAGTCAGCACTTCTGAGCTGAAATTTCCTCCAGGAGGTTTACGGTTATGGTACCCAGTGTTATTCTTTAGCTATTTTATTTCATTTTTCCATAGAAAAGCACTTTTAAAATTTTATTTATTAATATCTATATCTATATATATATTACATAAAAATTTTAAAAATTTCCTGCAGGAGATAAAAAGGAGAAAAGAAGAAAAGAAAGAATAGAAGCAGAAGGAAAATGAGAAGGCCGAGGAAATAACGGTGCCAGTCAGCAGTCACTGGTGCCCCAGGAGCAGTGGGGGTTATTGGACCCTTTATTCACCGTTAGAATGAGCCGATAAACACAGTCAGGCAGGAAGTGGATAATTGCCACGGAAAAATTCCAACCACTTTCTTTACCTACATTGGTTCTCATCATCTGACTTCACAAACCCTTGTTGTTTTATCCTTAGGCAATGCGGTCTCATTTTGAAGGCTCCAAGGTAGAAAAGAATAACTTCTTCTTGGTCCAAATAGCTGAAAGGATAGAAGGGAAAAACGATGACTTAGGAAAACGTGAGAAAGAAGAAAAGACTTTTACCTGTTATTCCTCTTGTTTGTTTTTTCTCTTCAGAAAAAGCATTTACTGTTGACGTCTCCCCTGGACACCAGGTTGTCACTCAGGTTGGAGACTCGCTTGTGTTGACCTGCAGTGTCGCAGGCTGCGAGAACCCATTTTTCTCTTGGAGAACGCAGAGAAACAACCCTCTGGGTGGGATGGTGAGGAGCGACCGGACCGAGTCCACCGTGGCCTTGAGCTCTGTGGGTTTCGAGAATGAAGATCATTACGTGTGCACTGTGACCTGCAGACACAGGAAGGTGGAAAGGGAAATCCACGTGAAGCTCTATTGTAAGTGCTTTTCAGAGTCATTTATTGTTGTCCTTTCAATTTTCTTACAAGAAAAAGAATACGATTTCTGTGGGAAGCAGTGAGACCCATTAGCTTCAAAAGGAATTTAGCACTATATATGGCTCCCAAGTCGCTGAGCCAAAATAGCTGGGTGCAGCACACATGCTCTGAGTCTTGGGCCCGCGCTGCACGCGCACCGGCACACACCAGCCTTAGCTCGTGTCTCATCGGGACTCTTACGCATTTGCTCACCCTCCCAGCTCCCTGCTCCCTGCTTCCATCCCTTCTATCTGCCTGTGGGTTGCCCAGCTGTGGTGACAGCAGCAGGTGTCAGCGCCCATCAAATAATTGGCCTGGGGACACTGCTGCTCCACTCTCCGGGTTGGTGGTGAGGCCTGAGCCCACCACTGTAAAAGCATGTTTGGAGAGCTGGTCTGAAAAATGGGGGGAAGTGAGGCGGCTGGAAGTACCTGACACCAGACACGCAGACGGCAGCAGCCTGAAAGGCGGTTCAAGTCTCTGCTTGGGTGGAATCAGGAGGCGACATCAGACCTGAATACGAGCATGCGCTGTGAGCACGCACTCTGTGCCCCGCTCGCTCTTCTGCAACCTAAGTTTGAAAAAAAAAAAAAAAAAAAGCTTTCTAACCACAAATTTCGATGAGTCTGATGTCGCTGGAGTTCTTCCCTCTGTAACGAACGCTGAGCAAGATACGCGAAGTGACCGTGATTACTTTCTCGAGAAGATTCCTCTGCTTTGTTTTGCTCCATGAGTTCAAGAAAACGTTTCATAGAGTTTTTCCACCAGAGCCTTGCCCAAACTTGTCCTGCCTTTCAGGATTATCTCAGAAGAACAATATGATTGTAAAGAGACCTAAATTTCTCAGAGGAAGGGTGACTTTTAGTGTTTTATCACAGTACCCAGAGTTGGACATAGTGATGCAGGTCCCCAGCAGGAATGAAGGGCCATGATAACTCTTATCACAATATGGAAATACTTGAGAATCACTGTAACAGTTTGCCTTGGGGAAAAGTTAGTATTGCTTTTGCCCTTGATAATTACTTGAGGCTCGTGTTACTGATTTATACAGGATATAGTATAGATGCTATTATGAGGCACGATCAAAATATAAGGTGAATGTTTGAATTTCTGAAACTCTACTACAGTAAAAGGAAAGCTGTCCTTAATTCCCCTCAGAAAATGTCCCCGCCTCGCACACTCTTGTCCTGTGGTCCTGGCCACGTTCTGAAGAAGTCCTGGGAGTCCTCTTTCATGAGTGCTGATTTTTTAGTTGTGGCTGCCTTGATGTCCCAAATCCATTCAAAGTGTTGACTTTCACGATCCTTTGGATTTGGGGAAACAAGCAGAAATCGCGCGGAGCCAGATCCGGTGACTAGGGTAGACGGACGCATGCGCACCGTGGCATCTCGCAAGGCTGCCGGCTGGACAGCCCTGGGCGGCAGCGTTGCCCGTATTCTCAGCACACCTCATAAAAACACTCATGAGAGAAGAGCTGAGGAGCAGCGGCAGAAAGTGACAAGGACAAGGGGGTGGGCGGCGTGCCCAGCATGAGGGGACTGCATGGGAAGTACGGGTACATTTTTTAAAAATGTAAACGTTCTCTGGAAAGTTCAGTCGCCCTTGTATAGATTAGATCCTAAATAACTATGTTCTAAATAATCTAGTTAAGGCAGTTCTTTTCTTGATTACAAGTATTATCTGAGAAATATTTAAAACTGGCCACCTAAATTTCAACGTTATATATTAAACTCCCTAAGCTGAGGGCGCCTGTGTGTTTGCTTGAGATCAAAGAGCTGCTTGGCGGAACCACGTCCAGGGCCTGAGGTCGGAGAAACTGGTCTGTGAGCTCAGCTCAGCGACTTATGGGTGCAGCGTGTAGAGAAAATTCTCTCGGCCTCCATAAGTTCCAGCTGTCTTAGCTAAACATTACGTCAAATAATGCCCATTTATCAGAAATTATTTAATTGAGATAATGATGTTGAGGAACTAATTTACTCTAATACATCATGAAAAACATTTGAAGTATCTAAAATATATAGTTAATAAATAAGAGGGTAGAAATGGATACCCTTTAGGAAAAAAAGCAGGCCATGTGTTCAGCAAGATGGTATCGTTAGAAGGGAAAATAAAAAGCAAAAGCATTTCTTATATGATGACTTAATGTATTTTTATTTCCAACATATTTTAATTAATTTTATCATTGTGTGTTTCTTCTTCTTAGTATTGTTTATATATTGGTCATTCTACCCTGGCTCATAAAGCTGCCGTTCTGAGATCCATGCATACAAGCGTTTAGCTCGCTTTCCTTATGTCCCCTTTGCTTGCCGTCCCCAGCACTCCCTCAAGATCCAGAGATTGAGATGAGCGACCTGCTAGTGAGTGGGCACCCCACCACCGTAATCTGCAAGGCTCCTCTTGTGTACCCCGCTGCCCGCTTGGAGATTGAAATATATAAGGGGGAAGCTCTTATGATGAATAAGTACTTTTCCGGGGAGATGAACATGACATCCCTGGAGAACAGAAGTTTGGAAATGACCTTCACGCCCAGCCCCGAAGACACCGGAAAAGTGCTCGTTTGTCGGGCTAAGTTACATATCGACGGAGTGGAATCGGAACCCAAGCAGAGGCAGAGTGCGCGGCCACTTTCTGTCAGGGGTGAGTGCTTACGTGCTGTGCCCGCAGCCGACTATTGATTCCTTGTCGTGTTTACCAGGCCAGAGATAGCTTAAGGTTAATAGTTAAAACCCTTGCGAAAGGATAACGGAAATGAGCATCTAAAATGATTATGGTAGTTCCTCGAGTAAAGCAAGGGCTGCCCCTTCCTTGCATCATGACTACGGCCGCACTGGGGCAGGCCCGCGGGCTGGCGGGCCTCAGAGGGCATCGCTCAGGTGCCCGCCGTGCGGGTCCCCCTTCCCTCCGCGGTGTGCCCTCGTGGACGCTTGCCTGGGCTAACTCCAGGGCAGAGCACTGCAAGCAGGTGATGCCAGAAGGCGCTCCAAGGCCCGCGCTGAGAAGTCGTAGTGTTCCTCTGTCCGCTTCCCGCTGCTCAGAGTGGTCACCAATCCCGCCAGATTCAGAGAGAGAGAAATAGCCTCGACTTTCACGGAAGTGCTCAGACACGCGCAGTCACGGTTACCGTCCACACGTGACACACGCTGCCATTCCCCGGCCGTGCTCTGGGAGCCAGGGTTTCTGCGGGATTTACTTCATTAGAGAGCAGCCGCGCTTGTCCGCGTCATTCTGCCTCTCCTGGAGTAAATGGGGTCCGCAGCCCAAGACGGGGCCGCCCGGCCCAGAGCCCGGCTCTGCGCGGCTGCTGAGCTCACCCGCCCCCCGCCTTAGTTGCCCCCGCAGGCGCTACCGTCCTGGTCCAGCCCTCCTCCACCCTGGAGGAGGGCAGCTCTGTGAACATGACGTGCACTGCCCACGGCCTGCCCGCGCCCAGAATCCTGTGGAGCAGACAGCTCAGCAGCGGAGAGCTGCAGCCGCTCGCGGAGAACGCCACGCTCAGCTTAGCTTCCGCCAAACTGGACGATTCTGGCACTTACGTGTGTGAAGGGATAAACGAGGCTGGAATAAGCAGGAAAGAGGTTGAACTAACTATCCAAGGTAAGCAGTGTACGATTTTAAGTTATTACTAGTTAGTATTTAGTATTAGTTAGTATTTTTTGGTTCTTAGTTATGAAAAAAATCCTCCTTGAAAACAACATTTGTGTTTAGAGAAGGTATTGAGGGTTCTTAAAAAGCCCTTGGTATTCGCTGTGCAGGACATCCCCTGCTTCAGCCACACCAAGTCACTTTTGCTGAAGTTCTTTTCACGTCCAGTGACTTGCTGGCTCCAGGGCTGTGCCAGGACTTCTGGTGACATTTATGAGACCGCGTTCATGGGGCTGAGTTAAGGGTAGGAGGAGGGGCCTGCGCGCTTGCGCCGCGCTCGGGGTCACAGCCACCTGACCAGGCTGAGCTAGACCCTGAGCAGCACTCCCCCAGGATGACTGCTGGCATTGGCTGAGAAGCCCACGAGGCTCAGGCAGCTTGTGAACGCTGGTGGTCCAGAGCAGCAGTGACTATGTCCGCCCTCGTTTAGTGGCCTGCTGGCAGGGGCCACCAGAGTGGGTCAGGTCATGAGATGCGTGCCTTTCCCCAAGGGCGGAGACTCCAGACCTGTAGCAGCGCAGTTGGTACTTGGCAGAGTGGCGCCTTAGACGCCGCGAGCCAGAGCGTGAAGTGACCCCTTTGGTCTATCCCGCTCCCGCTCCCTTTCCGTCGTTAGGGTTCTTTTCTTCCACGACACCCATTTCCTCCTGTCCCCCTTGAGATTATTCTCACTAAGGTATTTGCATTTTATTGTGACCTCATGTCAATGAGATTTGTGTTTTAGGATGGCCTTGGAAGTGCAATTTGCAACCTTAAAGAAAACCTTTATGTTGGATGTCATGGCACTTTGGCTTTGAAAAAAGTCTTGAAGTCACAACAATGACTTTAACAGAAATCTCGATCATAAAATAGTGATACAGCGCTTCCCTCCAAGAGTGACTACATTAATGAGGTGTTGCTTGTCCAGTATCTCATCCAGTTCTCAGAACCTGATAAATAGTAGGGTGCTGTTGGGGCAGTGAAAAGCCATCTCTTGCAGCTAAGCTCTGGATCTGGGAGGCGGTGGCTCCTGTGAGACACCATTGTTCATGCTAGGCTGGGTAAAGACGTGGGCCAAAGGACATGGAAGAGGCACGCCTGCTCTGCGTAAGCAGGACCGCTCGGGACAAAGCGGTGCACACTGACCCCTTGCCTTTACCATTTCATGAGAACAGTAAGCAGCTACTGCGATGTCATTCAATTAATATGACATTGGTTTGAATTTCATTTAACCCAAGATACTCTCAAAATTCTCTTTTCAGTGGCTCCAAGAGATATACAGCTTACAGCTTTTCCTTCCAAGAATGTCAAGGAAGGAGACATGGTCATTATCTCTTGCACATGTGGAAACGTTCCAGAAACTTGGATAATACTAAAGAAAAAAACAGATACAGGAGACACAGTGCTCAAGTCGGTAGGGGGTGTGTACACCATCCACAAGGTGCAGCTGGAGGACGCGGGGGTGTACGAATGCGAATCGAAAGACAAGTTAAGGAGTCTAACACTGGACGTCAAAGGTTGGTTTTATTATTTTGCTTTTTGTATTTGTCCAGAGGGTCCAGGGATGATAGCAAATTTCTAAGATGAGATGACTGACTTAGCAAAATGAGGGACTTCTGTGTTCATGGTGTTTATTTCTTAATGTCCCTCAAAATAATCAGATACAGCTGTTCTGGCCTACAGAGTTTAGTCAGGAAGTTGACGTTAATCACTGGTGAAAGTGGAATTCCCATTTGCTTTTCTCAAAGTTAACGATTCGTCGCTGGTCTCTATGGTCTTGCTTTTACTATGTTTAAACACATATTCAAAATCTTTCCCTGGGAGTTGAAAGGAAACTATAGAAGCAAGGTTGGTGCCTCAAGAAAAATAATCCTTTCCAGACTCTCTCGCTACCTGAAAGGAACACTATTTTCTTACCATGGAGTAACTGCAGATTTTCTGGGTTGACCTTTCAGGATTATTACTGAAAGCAGCAACCCTGATCCTGGGCAGCACAAGATCTCCAGGCTGCAGGACAGGCTTCTGTAGAGCACACAGTCCTGAGCATCCTACTCCTTTCTAATAAAGAAAGGGAGGACAATGGTCTCCTCCGAGAATGCCAGGGCCCCGAATCGCCATCCCCTTGTGGCTGCTCCATCGGCTGCGCCTGCTGATCTTCCTCGCTGAGCAGGACGTGTCCCCCGACTCATCAGCCGTCTGCTCCTTGCTCACTGCTGTGCTCCTAGCGTGTCCTGGAAGCCACACTTGGTGGTGGACAGTGGCAGTGCCAACTCTGAAGGGGGCTGATGCTTAATTAGCAGCACCTAATCTCGATGAAGAGAAGATGTGACCCTGTATCAGAAAAAAGAAAAAGTTACCAACGTGGCCAACTTCCTCAGCCTTATGTATTTCCTGTCTTCACGGAACCTCCTTGAAACATGAAAATATCAGTACACATTCGAAATACATTTAAAAAGTTAAGGAAGGGGAAAGTATCACAGTTACATGTAAAACTTCTAGTCAGCCCCCTGCCCTGCGGTAATTATCCTGGAAAGAGTTGATCTGGCCAGTGAAGTTGCCATATGCTCAGACAATGGGACACCGCCCCTGAGTCATGGTAGGAGCCTCAGGGCTACGCACAACTGGCGTCTCCAGCAAGCCTGGGGCTGTCTGCACAGCCCGAGGTCTCAGGTACCAGGAAGCTGACCCTCATTTGCTCCTGCTTTCTTGTCTCTGATGCTCCTGGCCACCCTTAACTTAGCTTGCCTCACCAGGAAGCTGAGCTGCATTTCTGTAGTTCCATTTATAACTGATTGTTCTCTTTAAAGACATATTATCGCTTCGTTTTTTATCTTTCCCTTCATGCAGTCTTTTCTAATTGCTTTGTTAAGTTAATTACTCCGTTACTTGCCACTTCCACCCCCATTATTTAAATGAGCAACCGAAAAATATTAGGCACTCACACCGAATGTGGCTTAAAATAGGTGGGTATCGTTGAAGGAAAAACGCCTGAAAATTTCCTGGATGTTCTCATCTAGTTTTGCTTTGTATTTTATTAGGCTTTTAAATGTTTTGTTTTGTTTGGGCTTGAATGCATTCCACTGATGGAGACAGGCGTTGTTAAGATTTTCAGTGTTTATAGCAGGAGAACGCCCTGGCAACTGCTCAGCAGCAAATCTGAGATTTTCTGCAGATGTTTGGGGGAAAACTGAAAGGCCAAAAATAATATTTATTGAATTAAAAAGAAAACAATACGAACTTAAATGCCTTTGTGTAGCATGTCATCAGTATTAATGCCCAGTCATAATTACAATGATGAGTGTCCCATTAAGGTGTTACTCCTAATCCCTGACTGATTCAATGCTATCAGACAAAAGTGGGAAAGTGAGGCAATTATTTTGTTCAAGGTGAAGTGGTTTTTCTTCAGTAGTTTGAAAAAATAGCTTCATACTAACTAATACTAATGTTTTATTTACTAGAGTGGCTTTCAGTGTTTAGAAAGCTCTGGCAGGAATGCAGTGGGGACCAGATTCAGGTCACTAATTCCTGCCAAGATGGAGGCAGCCCGTATGCCACTCTGTGAAATTTAACCACGAGGTCAGTTAATACTGCGTGCTGTAGAAGCAGAAGCCAGCCTTCAGGAATGCTCCGGCTTCCTCCTCAGACGTCCTCACAGGGTGCTGAAGCGTGAACGAGGGCCTCACGTATGCCAGCTAGCGCCCTGCCTCTGAGCCACACCCAAGCCCACTCATCTAGGGTTTTTTCACATGGCTATCTTCTGTCCTTCATTCGCAAGTGAGGACACAGAAAGAAAAAAGTAAGGCTGAAAGATATTTTGGGGGCAGCAGCTATGCCAAGTGGTGAGCCGAGCCCTGCAGTCCGTGCTGGACTGAAATGCAGCTCTTAGAGACCACAGTCAGAAGCGGGAGCCACATTTAACCGGTAAATCCTAGGGGTAGCGTCTAACTGCCAGCGGTGACAAAGTCTATGAAGACAGTGTCATGCGTGGTTTTGCTTGTTTGTTTGTTTGTGGCCAGCTCAGCGTGCCCTGAGGGTGGGGTTGGCGCGGCCTGTGGTGCCCGAGATTGGACCGCAGTCCCTGCGCTTGCCTAAGCTTGCCGAAGCAGGTACTCTAGTCCAATGAGCTACCTCGCTGGCCCATGGTGGGTTTTGAGAGTACGTCGGGATTCTTAATTTAGGTTGGGGAGATGTGAGTCAGCAAAGCTTCTCTGAGTAAGTAACACGTGTATGGAAACGTGCTGCCATCCAAAGAACTTCAGTGAGCTGAAAGAACGTGGATGACTGCGAGAAATAGTGCTTGTCATGATGTCTTTACTTCAGGCATCACACACACACACACACACACACACACACACACTAGCTGAAAAGTCCACAATCCAAATTCTTTGTCTTCAAATCTTAATCATGGTATTTGACTATAATGGTCACACTCTAAATGCTACAAGGGTCTTCTTGGAAAGCCGGTTGGCGACCCAGCCTTGGAACTCTAGTAGATATCCTGTATCTCCAAATGAACACCTCTCTCCAATTTCAGCTTCTGGAAAGGATCCCACCCCTCTTCCACCTTATGCCTGAAACTCGTGATACCTTTTAACGCGTTTGTGGAAGTCAACAGCTGTAATCGTTAGCTGTGGTCATTATGAGCAGAGCAACTGACTAATTATTTGGATGATTGAGAGAAATACGCATTTGAGCCTTTTGCTCTTTATCGCACTGCTTGGATTTCCTTTCCTTTAGAGAACTATTTGTACTGTTACATTAAAACATGAATTATTCTCGAATGATTTCTTCTTGTACTGACATTCATTGCATGCATTTGTTATTTTCCAGGAAGAGACAGTGACAAGGACTACTTTTCGCCCGAGCTCCTTGCTCTCTGTTGCGCCTCCTTCTTAATCATGCCTGCCATTGGGGTGATCGTCTGCTTTGCGAGAAGAGCCAACATGAGAGGGTCATACAGTCTCGTGGAAGCACAGAAATCCAAAGTGTAGTAACATCTGAGATGTTCAACTAGGACCATTATTCATAAACCCAAAACTACTGCTCATCATTCCACAAGAAAAGCGAGACAAGTTCTGACTTCTCAGTGCAGGAAAACAGAAGGAAAGGCCACTTGCACCCTTTCGGGGTGTGAGAAGCCAGGGGAAAGCTTAGCGCCTGGAAGGCGGGCCGCAGAGAGGAGCCCCCGAAGCGCTGCTCCGCGGGCGCACAGGATGACGCTCGGCACACATGTAAAGTGGAAGCCCGCCACGCGAGGTTGCTTGGAGCGGCAGCGCGCTCCCTTCAGATCATGGGAGTGACCAGCCCTTTGCCTGGACGGACTGCTAATAACTTAATGTATCTGTGGGAATTTAATTGTTAGCATTGACTGGCAGCTGACGGACGTGATCTCTCTAATGTTACTTCGTTTAACAAAATCCTCTTCTTACAAAGTTTATTGAAATAATTTCATGTTTGACGAAGAAGCCAGGGCGTCAAATTTATACAGGCGGATGATGAAGAGCACACTGGGCTGGCTTCGGGTACTGAATACCTCAACCTAGGGGGTCCCGGGTGCCTGGCTCCCAGGCATGGTACTGGCACGGTACGGAGACGCTGTCTGGTGTGGGTTCGTCAGAATCGTGTGTAACTTTGCAGAGGGAGTTTTAAGATGCAACTTCTTTTTATTTTCTTTTGTAAGCATTTAGGGTTTTTGTATAGTAAAGTGATACTTTCTGGACTTGGAAGGGTTGTGTGTGTATTTATTATAAATGCCTCCTTCAATTACGTCGCAGCTCTTCTGAAATGCCACCGTTAAGAGTGAAAGCTTTAAACTATGAAGACAATGCACATTCTCAAAATGTTGTCTTCAGATTACTTTTATCAAAATTACCTGAGGGACTTCACAAAATTCAGCTCTCTTGGCATCATCTTACTCTAGTGAACTGAGATATCTGGTTTTGGGTCCCTGGAATCTTCAACTTTTCAATCAAAATGTATGAAGCAGTGACGCGAAACTTTTAGAGACCATGTGCCAAACTGTAACACATCTGCTTTTTAATCACAAAATACCAACATTGTGATTAACCCTGAATACGAGGTTTTAGTTTAGAAAACACATCTTAACATCTGTTGTCTTAAAAACAAAGCACAATAATATGTGTGCTACAGGGTCGCCACCCCAGACACACAGTGCAGGTAGAGTAGCGCAGACGCGCCCGCCTGTGGTCGGTACCCAGCACCTCCGCGTGTATCTCCCAGCTCAAGAGACAGAGCACCCGCGACTCAGGGCCTGCTGTGCGACGCAAGCTGGCGTGTAATACACACACACACACACACACACACACACACACACACACACACACAAAGACAGCTCTTACCAATAAGTATCCCTAATGTATACTATTTCCTTGGTTTCTTTGGAGGTTTTATACCTATATAAATATTCCAAAGTGATATATTATTTAGTTTTGCTGGGCTTTGAATTTTATATAAATACAACCAAATGATATATTTGATTTATTCTTTCACTCAAAACTTCTGTCACATTATGTCCTTGCATAATTCAGCCAAGGGCCACTCATTTTATTGCTGTATATAGTAATTCACTATGGAACGTTGCCCCAATTTCTTATCCACTGTACTAATGGGCATTTGGGCTCTTACAATCTTTTCTCTTATGAGAAAAAGCTCCTTTGAACATTACTGTACATGTTCTTCGCTGATATTTGCGAGCACTTCCCGAAGGTCCAGCGTTTCTCCAGCACACTTTCTGGGGTGGGGTCTATATAACGTCAAAGTTTATGGGGAAAGCTAAATTGTTTCCTGAGGCAGTAGAAATATTTTGCACTTCAATGAAAGTGAGTAAAAATTCTCACTATTGAGCAGCCTGCCCAATGTGGCCATTTTCTGATTTCAACTTTTTCTTCCTTATAGATATAAAATCATTTCTCATAATAAATATTTTATAATTATATTTTCCTGATTATTTGTGAGATTGAGCACATTTTTATATAGTTAAGGACCTTTCGGGTTTAGCATCGTTTTATCTGTGAAGTATCTGCACATTTCTTTTGCTTGTTTTCTAGAGACTGTTAATACTTTCCTTACTAAAGTGCATGCATGCACACACACGCGCACACACATGCACAAGCACACACAGGCATGCACACATGTGCATGCACACACCCCCTCCCTGGGCACTAGCCTTCTGCCAGTTTTAAGTTCCACAAACATTCCTCTGAATCTGTGCTCTGATTACTTCATTATTCTGCTTGTGACCTTTCTGAGGCCTCACTTCCTTTCTGGTATCTTTTTGATGAATAATTATATTTTAATGTGCTCAAGAGTGTTAATATCTATTTTGGCTTGCTTTCTATCACAATTCCGTGTGTCCATCGTTTGTTCTTAGTGTTGGTGCATACCACTGAACACTCACAGAAAACATGATTTATTCTTCCACTGGATCGGCTGTACACAGTCATGCTGATTGCAATCTGGGGCTACTATGAATATTTGGTACAAATTAAATACATACAAATATTTATGAGCACATATATTTGTAGACTACGAGGGGAGAGGGGGAGGCAGGGACAGACAGAGCGAGGGAGCGACCCTAGCAGCGGCCTCGTGCCGACAACTGCGTGATCACGGTTTTGAGCCTTCTGTTTTGTTCTGCGGGTTGCTATGCCAGGGCACACACCAGCGCACTAGGGTCCTGCAGCACGCACTGCGGCTGGACGGTAAGCCTGAAGTCAGTAGCAGGAGGCCTCCAGCTTCACACTTTAGAAAGGGTTGGAATGCCTGATCTTTTGACTTCCCATGTAAATTTAATAATCTGCTTGCTAATTTCTATTTAAAACACCCTGCAGGTATTTGGTTACAGTTTCATTGACTCTGCTCATGGGAAGAATTACAGCAGTGCTGAGTCATCTAACACAGTTATTAAGAACTCTTATTCTTTTGTTCGTCCATTTTTTTTATCAGTGTTTTGTTCTTTTTACTGTATAAGTCTTACAATCTTCTGCTAAAGTTTAAGCACACCACTGTTGTCAATACTATTGTAAGTGGTACTGGGTTTTAAATTTCAATTTCTAATGGTTGCAACTATATGGCTATACCATTGATTTTGTATCTTGACTGGATAATAGTAATAAGGAGATGGGCAAGGCAACGATCCTGAGAATCTTCAGCAGGTTTTGGAAACTAGCAGTTATTTGGTAGGATTCTCACCCTGACTAACTATGTGTGCTGATACCTGTGAACTAAGCAGCTGCACTGAAGATCGCAGTGTGCAATGGTAGGGTCATGCGTGGAATGTCTGTCACTCTGGTCTTCTGAATACATACTGCTTGTCATGACATACCAATTATGGCCATACTGTCTCTCAGCTAAATGTTTAAAAAAAAAGAATAATAAATGAAACAAGAGACAAGAAAAAAATGTCATAGGACTGTCCTGCTATAATGCTGTATATGGTTAGATTTCTAAATTTCTGTGTAAAAATATGTAATTGTTTATTCCTAAGTATTTTTTATTTTTTACGTATTTTTTCTTCATATTCTATAGGGACTTAAATTTTAACATATCAATACTTGATGGAAAATACCTGTTCTATGCCATAATCTAAGATATTTGATATTCAGACAAATAGTGAGGTTAAACTCAACTGCCTATGTTGTAGGGTAATAATAATAAGCTTCACTTCTGGAGGGTTAACAACTTAAGTTTGTAGACGAAAAATCAGAGAAAAAGAAGGGCTGCAAGGACAGCCAACATTTTGGCCCTAGCCTTTCAAGGTCAGTGAGGACTAAGGACATAGAAGAACCTGTACTGTAACATCACGTAACTCACTTGTTTCCTAAATTTTCTGATCAAGGCGATTATGGGGCCACAGAGGAAAGTGATCGACGATGTAGAGTGTGCCTAAAGAGAGTCACCTAGAGAGAAAACATTCTCTCAGGCTTTCACAGAGAGCAAATTGGTCAAGCAATGGCCGTGACTCATCCACATGGCTGACACTGACAAAGGATTTACAAACTGCGGTACAGGGTTTCAGGATAAATCTTGATGGGATTTGACTGACCTTGTCAGATACAAAAGTTACATTTCTTGTTATATAGGTCTTGCTTTCTCTTGGTCTTAACCATCCAACAGAAAAGTGTAAAAACAAGGTATAAAAAGTAAAGCCATATTGATATGCTGAGCTGTAAAAGGCTCAAGTCAACAACTTCTGACACTGCCAGTCCTATGGACAATGCACTACTATTATGGACTACTGGACAGTATCGGATTATCTTGCTGAATTCATACACCTACAATATTTAAATGACAATGGAATACCCATCTCTGACAAAACTAAACAAAAAAAGGGGATACAAATGAAGGATCATTTTGGATCTGTATATACAAAATAGTTAGGATAGATATACAGCTACTTTCTCTTAATTCAATGAGAAGAAAGATTTGTACTAAGAGTGTTTGGCCAGGATATCATATCTGCATCTTATACTATGAATAACCACTAAGAAGACAACAATATGCAATGTATTAATTATTGAAACTGTCCTACTAATCGGTTTTGAAACTCTCATTGCTATTTGTTTCTCAATAAAATTACTTTAAAAAGTAATAAGGAATATTGATCTGCAGTTTCTTTTCTAGTAAAATCTTTGTCCAGTTTTGTTGCCAGAATAATACTAGCCTCATAAGATAATTAGAAAATATTTCCAACTCAAATTTCATGAAGAGTATCTGTGAAATTCTATTATCCTTCTTAATTTTTATATAATTTATAAGAGAAGACATCAGATCTGGAGGAGTTTTCATGGGAATGGGTTCAAGTACACATTCAACCTTTTTCAAAAGATCATGAAATATTTCAGCTCCCTATTTTTGTTGAGTAACCATTCCTCTCGGTGTTTTCAAGAAATTCGGTAATTTCATCTCAGTACTCTTTCTTTGCATTAAGATACTTATAGTACAATATCATCCTTTTAGTCATAGGCTTTCTTAAGATGCTTAGTCTTACTAATTCATGTTTTCTTTTTCTATGGTCTGCTTAGAGTTTTATCTATTTTATAGTTCTTTGAGAAGAACTAGCTTTTGGTTTCTTTGATATTTATCTATTTTTTTAGTGTTCACTGTGTACAAGTGAATTAAGAAAAGTTTACAAGGGTTCAAATCATTCACAACACAGCCCTGATGAAAAGGAAATTGTCGTGGCTGACACTCGTGAACAAAGTGAAGCTCCCATGGCTAAAACACGGGGAACCGGCAATTACCCAACTGAAAAGTCATCTACTGCTGCTGCTGAGGTGCTTGGGGCTGGAGTTCCTTCCGGAGGAGTCTGAATGCCGAAGCACCGATCTGCCCTGTCTGGAAGGGGATCCCAAGACAGCTCTGGAGGAATCCATGAGTAGCACCGCAGAGAGCTGAAGGTTTCCAAGTTCTGTTACGAGGACTCCTTGGCAAGAGCTGACTGTTGCGTGTCATCTCCTGTACGTGGGCTGCCTCAAAAGTGAAAAGCAAAAAGAAAGAAAGTGAAAAGCAGTTTGAGTTTGAGCACAAATTTATCCCCTTCTCTTTCAGACACTGGAAAACAAAATGATCAGAAAACAGTCCGTTTCAGCAGCAGGGCTCACAGGGAATCACGGAGGAGCAAAACAAGCCGCAGAAGTGAAAGTTTGGTATTTTGGTCTTAAGAACAAAGAGGCAACATTGACTTTGTGAGGTGAAGGG